TCGCTTTACGCCCGCAACTAATCGCATTACGTTTCCCTGAAAGCTCGTGTCTCGCTCGGACGCGAGGCTCACAGAAATCCCCGCAGGTAGACGGCCGAGTCTATTGTCCGCGTCCTTCCGAAATCTTTATTGTTTTAGCGGAAATATTATTTCAGGCACCGTTCGAGGCAATCCACCTCCCCTTAAATTCTTTTACGTCCCCGTATAAACGCGCGTTTTTCACCCTTTACGCATTTTCTATGTTCACGCACGTGTTACCTGAAGAAACGAATTATAAATCATCGTTCGAGATTGTCCACCGAAATACAAGGTTATAAATTTTTATGACCCTTTCTCCTTTCCTTTCGTCCTGGACGAAAGGCTGCAGATAGTGGGCGTGGAATGTCTAGGATTAACTGAATGCGACCACTTAATAATTATACTTCGCAAGGAAGACAGCAAGTAATATTCTTTCTGGCGAAGAAAGCCTTGTCACGGAAATATAGTTTGAAAAATGGACAGAAAGAATTTTACTAAAGTATTTCATCAACTCCCCAACACAGTATTCACCTCGCATCGACTAAAATCCCCAAAAAATAGAACGTCAAAACCTGAACAATTTCTCTTGGCCACGCGTTCCACACGGCTCCTGCTCAGAATCTTCGAAGGACCTCCGATTTGAAAGGATCGTGCGACTCACGATGCGTTCCACGCGAAATCATCGTCTAACCCCTTCCTCCACCCCAGAGAAAAAAAAGAAGAGGATAATCCCATCGGTGACACAATGTTCGCGTAACCGACGTGAGGCTGAGGACTCGAGATGGACGAAGAGGACGGAGGAGGAGGATGGTCCTCGACGACCTCATGGTCGTCACACTCGCACCCCATAATCCTCGAACGGCATTCACGATCAGACAGTGCACACACGCCGAAGCTCTCGCGCGCAGGAAGAATCAGAAGAAATCGGCACACGAGGACGAAGAGAAAACGAGTCGCGCGACCTGAATAACTCCGCCTGGATGTTTCTAATGCGTGGCTTAGGAGGCTCACGAGTTCGTGAAGAGGACCGATGAACTTCGGATAATCATCCGACCCCGTCGTTCCTTTCTCGTACGCTCGATTTCTTCTCCCGTCTGGACTTCTTTTCTTCCCTTCCGTGGGACGAACAATCGAATTTTTCCACAATGGCGACCACGCGTTCGCCAGGACACCGCTTCCGCTTACTTCTCCGCGGCTTTCAATGGCGGAACGTGGTCGAAACTCGAACAATCGGTTTATCGATAGCCTGGACGCGGTTATAATTAAAGAATCGAGCGGTAACGAAAGAAGCATTGTTCCACTGGTTAAGCATTCGAAAAGAAAGTAGCAAGTTCTAAAATGTTTCAACGCTAAAATGATTTAATGCTGAGATGCTTGAATGCTAACACGCTTCAATGCTCGAACGATGCAGTAAAAAACCTTCACGCTTCCTAACATTCGTCCCAAAAAATTTCAAAAATAGGCAAAAAAATCAACTTTAAAACTTTAACGACACGAATCACCATTGCTCAATCCACCCTTTTCGCTCTCTACACCGAATTCATCAGCTTCTCGCTTCATCGAGACGATTACTGTCCCGTCAAATTCCCCGCCAAACACAAGTATGCCCGCAGCCGTTAGGCTCCCCAGTCACCTAGAACGATTCCTCCCGTGAAGAAATGAAAAAGCTCGTTGTCTCGTCACGAGGAACGCTCGAGGGGGTCGCAAGTCGATCGAATCGCGTTCGTTGGAAGGCGAGGCACGAGCAAGCGACGAGACCCCGGAAAGAAAGGGAGCGAAAAGGATGCAGCGGTGAAAATCGTAAGACGAGAGAAACAGGGAACAATGTAACGAAAAGAGAGTTGAGGAGGGGGAGGGGGGGAGGGGACAATATCGTGCGCGTTTACGATGTCGTTTTGCCACGATAAATATGCTCGTGAACCCCTTTCGTGGGGATGCAAAACACCCCTTCGGTAGGCGGGGTGCAACGAAACCTGTGTAATCTGCCATACGTTTCCCATGAATATGCATCTGCGAGGCTAATGCGATTTGATTCACGATTGGCCCAAAGTGTACGACCGGGGGGAGATCTCTCGAAACCCGCAATAATTCGATACATCGACCGTGAGGGCACAAATTAACGTTTGTTAGCGCAACGTTTCCATCGGTTCACGGTTGCTCGAGACGCGAGCTCGTGATGAAAATAAATCGCTCCCGTACCGGGATTACCGCACGGAATTGATTACCGGTACGAAAACTCGATATTCCTTGGTCCCTGAGACGATTCTCGACGCGATAAGTCGAAGAAAAGGAGGAACATTATTTTTCATGTTCGTTTCAGAGTACACTTCGGACTACCTTCATTGATGTGATTATTACAAATTCGGTAAAAGCCACGGTCGAAGAACTTCCGCAACTGTCTCGGTTCCCGAAATAATTACAAGCACCACGTGTTCCACGCAAATCTTCGGCAACGCTAATAAACTACAAACTCCGACGGATCTATTTTATCTTCGTTTTCCAAGCAAATTTACTACGCAAATTTATCCGTGACGTTGCTCTAACGCCGCCGCGAAGGATTTAATAAATCACCCGGACAATTAGCAAGTTCTCCGCGCTGGCGTTCCGTTAGGTAGTCAGGACAGGTACGGCCATTGATTCGCGCTCTTTTACGATCTTCCGCCGATACTGTTCGATCTCTCCTGGAAAATTCTAAATTGCACTCCCGTCCGTCGTGACCCGTACAAAGCGCACAAGGTGGCGAGAGGCGACGGCCGGGGAACCGGGGGGGGGGGGGGGGGGGGGGAGGTTCCAGCACGGCGAACCAGAGGGAAGATTTTAATTGCTTTATTGCCCGGGAATTTCCGAGAAACCGGCTGCACGCCAATAAAACCGATTTTACCAGGCTCTCGTAAACTTTATGCCAGTACACCGAGGTAACGTCGAGTTTTCGACGTCGTGGAAACTCCGAACGATTCGTGTTTCCCTGGGCAAAGGGGTGGTCCGTGAAACACGGAAAGCGAAATCGTGGGGCACGGAGGAGAGGAGAGAAAAAAAGAGGAAAAAATGCAGGCGTTTAACGACTCCACCTGTTTGCCTGCGAGGTGGATCGCCTCGACGTTCTTTTTCTTCTTTAATAAGTCTCTTGGTGTTTAGCGAGGGTAGCAATGGTCAGGGAGAAATGGTCGCTTTGCACACCTAGCTACCGAATGGGACAACTCTAGAACTGTTCCGAATACCGACGATTGATGTTTCTTTTTATTGAGATAATTTGGCTTTCGTTCTAACGTTTTCAATGTTCTTTCGCTTTCCCATATACCACTTAAGAACTCATTTTCTAACCTATTCCCGGTTTTCCGGTACCCTGTCGTCGTTCACGTCCAAGCAGCAGCTCCTCTCGAGGGTCTTCGTCGTTCGTGACAGGGAAATAAAGGGGACTAGTACGAGCAATTACGCGGAGTTGTTAACGAGGTGGCCTTACGGCCTCGCAGATCGTTGTCTCTCGGGGCATTACGCTTGTAATTTAGATACTGCCGATGAACGCGCCCCGCGAGGATACTGTTACGTCCAGGGTAGAACCGAGGCACGGGCGAGGTCTTTGCACCTGGAAGTGTCGGCGTCTTGGTGCAATGTCGCGTCACCTGCGAGGGCATTACGCACACGATCGGACCGCGAGTACGACGGCCGCATGATTGATTCCCTGATTTTATCTTCTGCCCGAGTAACGACCGTCTTTACGAGCCAATAAAAATGCGCCCGGGGGAGGGCGCGGATGCAAATCCAACGAGTCGGGGGAATCTCGGCGCTTCCACGTTGCGCGTTTACCTTTGGTGCGCGTGGTCAAGGGGAGAATTGTAGATTTTGAAAATTATGTCTTGAGGGGATGATCTGACTTATGGAGATGTAGATGGTTTTTCAATTTTTTTTCTTTTCACGAAAACTACGAGGTGAATTAAAACGAAACTCTAAGAATATTTTAATATATTGAAGAAGATACTATATGACTATTTTCGCGTAATATAGTTGATTCCAAACGTAATTAGCCGGTAATTACGTTTGGAATCACGAAAAGAAGAAAATCTATACTACGATGTAAGCAAACTTCCTGGTCACACGAGTCGACCCACGCCAAAAAGATAAAGAAAAAAAATCTTATTTCGTCGGTCAATTTCCTCGATGATTAAGAGTTGCGAAAACGAATAATACGCTTTAATAATTCTCGTAACAATAGTTTTCCCATCGTTATTCCCCGAAAGTATTTCCATTTTCGCATTTCTGTTGGCTGTGGCACCCGAGAAATGAGTTTGGCTCCGGAGATGAGTTGAGGAGTTGAAGCAAGAGTTCTACAATAAGATTTTCAGGACCCTAACGCGTAACGATCACCGCTGTCGGGGTAACTCGTTACAGTCGAAGTGAAATATTGCTCGAAAGAAGAACTCTATCGTTTTTGCCGACACTTCGAAAAGAGTGCGATGTTTGCTTGTGGATAATCTACGTTAAGCAGCGAGTAGCTTCGAGACAAAGTAATCGTTAAACAAGGTGAAGATTTGAGCAACTTCTATCGTCAATAGTTGAGAATTGAACGCATCATTTCCACATTAGAACGTCAACTAAATTACGAGGTCACTCCGTGTATGAATTAATACGAATACGACTACGTTTCTGACTACGTAAATTTGCCTGCCAGTGAATGGGTTAACCGACATAGTGAACTGATCGAACGTTTTACACAATTATTTTAAAACGTTGTTAATCGAATATATTAAAAATAATATATTTCATTATCAAATATTAGCTTAAATCTTTCTCGTTAATTTTGTAATCTACGTCCGTCAATTTTATAACGATGTTGCTGTGTAATGTTAGAAAATTCAATTGTTATTCAATTGTAATTAATTTGTTTTTTCGTCGACGTGTATGAAATAGTATTCGATTAACTCGAACCACTGACCTGTCCGAGTATTCGCAAATGGCCGTAGAAAAAATTTGACTAGAGGTTCTACCTTAACTCCCAATTAAAACCAAAAAGTCCGATCGACGGGCCGCTGTCCCAACGTCGCTTCGCAGAAAACCGGAAGGCACCTGCGTCTACGGTCATTTCCTGTATCATCCCCCGGGGGTAACCAGGTTAATCCTCGATTGACCCTCCTCTGCACGCAGGTTGGACCTGTCCACGACGTGCAGGAAAGAAGGGAAGCTGACTGAAGAGCAAGAGAGACGGATTCCGGTCCGGCACGCGACCATAACCGCACCACGGTGACAAAAAGGTTGCCCCGTCGACGTCACACATGCTCGTTTCTGTGCGAGCCTCTCGCTCAGCAAGATCGAGATTGGCTGTTCGGTTCCTTAATGGAAACACATGTAATTTAGATTTAATATAGAGAATACGGAAGTAAATAAAATATTATCGAAAGTTATGCGATTATTCAAAGACTCTGTCTGTTTCAACTATCAGAATCAAACGATTAGAAGATAATGATAGTAAAACATACGAGAATAAAATTTCTTGTTTAACCAGAACTTTCGTTCCAGATTTGAAGAATTGAAACTGACAATGACTAAAAATTTCAGGAACGCTTTCTTTCAAACCAGAGAAAAGAACAAAGACCTAACGATTTCGTTGAACCCGTTATTCGAATGAAAATATGAGGATAGAATTGATACAAAATTTCTTGTTGGCGTCTGATAAATAGCACAGTGTATCAGCATGGATTCTAGACAAACTGGTCTAACAAATAACTAGCCAACCTCCTAAATGCGAGTCTTGGACCTTCCGCGAGCGTCGATCAATTGTAAAGGGCTTCCTTGGCCTTGGGCGTCGTTCCGCGCCCTAATCAACAGGTTGTCGATAAACTTTAGCTTTACCGGACGAACCAGCGACGTCCTCTCCGCGGATCGGGTAGAAAGCTCGCGTAACGAGACGGTCTCGATCAATCGATGCCAACGAGAAAGCTGTCGCAAGTTATAGACCGACGTCTTTCTACGCTGTTAAGGGTAGAACTATCAGTGCATTGTACCTTCTCGTCCCTTGGGATGAAAACTTCATCCCATCTCAGGAGAGATGGAAGCGCCGAGGAAACTTTCTCAACAGCTCGGCGAAAGCTGTTGCTGATTTTTAAAGTTTTTACTTTCGCTACAGGATATGCCTCAGTAACTGGGTTGAACTATTGCTTTGTTCTAATCGAAGGTGGAGGAAATTTTGGTAATCAAGAGTTTTGTGGTACGATATGCCAATCTGGGACTATGTACTATCATGGTCGGGCTCTATGTATTGCTTTAATTTGTGCAATATTTTATATGAATTTGATTTCTGAGTAAATTGCGCGCAGATGTACGCTGATGATGCAAATAGGTCAAGAAGATTTAATTTAATAGTAATACATACATGTATATCGATTATAATCAATATCAAGGAACTCGGTATCAAGCTGTTATTGATCTAACCCGAATGATGTTCAATCGATACAAATGGTTTTCTAAAAAGCGCACTTCATTTTATATAAATTCAAATACGTCAAATATTATTTAGTAATATCGAATTTCTAGCGAGAAATAGAAAAAATAATTCAAACCGTAACTTCTGTTATCAATTAGCGACGTTACATTGATATCGAAAAAAACGTGTTATTAATACTAAAGAAGACCGTAACGAAACCCGGGCGCGCAAACTTGAGCAAAAATATCAGAGCTCACCTGTTACAGCCACGTAAAATAACTTCGTCAGAGCGCGCGGAAGAGAAAAGGGCGAGCACTTTGAACGTCATCCTCAGGTAGGGCGACAGGTTGTCGATAAACCACGGCAGAACACGAACCGCGTCGAGGAACACTTTGTGCTAGAACGAGGCGGACCCGTTCTGTTCTTCGAAAGTTAAACACGAACTGCGATCGTCGAATAATGCAACTTATCGTCGCTCGTACTGTAGAACCTACAGTACTGTTTACCTCGAAAATATAAACATTGTTTTTCTGCACGGGACGCCCGGTCCTCGCGAGCCTGGTTAATTCCCAGTATTCAATGTAATACCGTGTTCCGAGAATTTCGAGAGTTTGTGTACAACATTGACGACGTTACACAGCGCGACATTGATCATTGCCGCGAATTGTATACATGACTCTCGAATAAAATTCTCAATAACTTTAACTGTCGTTTGCCGTTGGACGATTATTCAACAAATATTTCTCTTTGAGATATTGTTCTATTTACTGCGTTTATTCATACTTGTTATATCATTGAACATTTTATGCTTGCGTTAGAAAAATACTTGCGTCTTGCATTTGAATGTTTGCTTTTTACAACCGTCACTTTCAGCCAATTAAACGGGCGCAAATGATGTCTGGGAACGAACAGACCGTGTCGAATAATAAAAACGTTCACCGCGGCGAGATTTCGATTACGGTGTTTCTCCGTTCCCATGAGCCTCCCAGCGAGGCAAGAAAAACATTAAGGGGATTTTCATGGGATGTAGGTCATCGATTCAGGAGCACGGAGGATATCCTGTCCATAGATCGGTCGAAAGAAGAAGAGAAAGGAGCGTGAAGTGCGTTTATGAATGAGGAATCCCGAGGACCTGACCCAGGACTCCGTGCACTTGCGTCCTGCGCCCTTGGCGACACCCCCTTCCGGCTCGATGGCTCTTAGGGGGTTGCGAGCGCCGTATGTCGCGACAACTGTTACCTTCGAATTTTCGGGGGCGGATCGCTTTCCAATCGTTTTTCATTTCAGAAGAAAATCTAACGCGCCATCGTGCACCTGGAACTATCCTACCGCATGACTAGTCAATTGGGTTTCGCAGAAAATAAATGACTCCTGTTTCTTATAAGTGAAACGAACTCATAATTTCAATTTCAAAAGTGCGAACGGTTAACACGAAGCTCCGCCTTTCGCGAACGTTTCCACGAATTTGAAAATTACACGACAAAGTAGCAGCGTGATCCCCGATATCGATGCACCCCTGTGTCTTCCGTCAACCCTCGAAAAATGTCTGAAAACGTTGGCTCGCGAAGCGTCGAACACAAACCGTCGCTTCCACGTCCGTCAAGATTTGCCCGCAAAATGGATCTCTTCTCCCGCGGTCCTATCGTCACAATGCGTTCAAGCCTTTTTTTCCGGCGGCTTCCCGTCGAAACGGATTCCTTTAACCGGGCGAAAGAGACCCCTGCACCCCCTGGAACACGTGTGCGAGCGCGACGCATCACCGGGCGAGAACGTACTTTAACGTGGAAACGTCAGAAAGGATTCCGTGGGAACGCGATGGGAGAGGTAGGCAAGAGTTGGATTTCCTGAAGAGAGGAAAACGCTCGTCTTGTCTCTGTGCGTCGGGATATTCGATAGGGAAGGGACGAGGCGAGGGAGAGGGTGAACGATATTAACCCTCGATATACCAAGCTTTTTTAGGTTACGTAGATCGCGAGGGGTGCTTCATCCCCGCCTAATGGGAAGTTCTAATGTCTGACAGCAACTTTGGTAAAAGTGACAACTTCAATTTTTATAGCTTCGGCGGATAAATAAAGTGAGACGTTACACGTCGATTAACTCCACAAAACAAAAAGTTGAGAAATTTGATGAAATACAAAAACGAATTTGGAATCAACGGTATCAAAATATCGCGAAAATAAATCGGTAACGCTCCTGGCGTGCGACTTCGATCGCTATAAAGGCGACCGATCGCGGAATAAAAGATGAAAATATAGCAAGGAAAAGGGGCGCGATCGTTTTCATCGATCACGTCGCCTCGCAAGGGAGAGAGGTAACAGATCCGCGATATCAAAGTTAAATCGACAAGGGTCGCGTTGATTGACGATCGATAGGGTAAACTTTGCAGAAAAGAGGCCAACTTTTGCGGTAAACGGCTCTCCTTTTCGCGCGATTTGTGTCTTTCAGCGAAAGGGGTGAAACCAGCCACCGTTTTAACACGCAATCTTGTGTATTTCATCGGGAGGAAAGGGTTACACGAAAAGGGATCATTTGTCGATAAATTTCTGGTTCCCAGCAAATAGGCTCCTTCCGAACCTGTAAATTGCCCTGATTTCGGGAAGAAAGGATTACCAGCTGGAGAAATGTGGTGCTCCGAAATTAATATTTTTTTCTTGGGAAAAATTTTCGCCGAGAGAGTCGTTGAATTTCGTGGTCTCGAAAATTTCGACAAGGCACTCTCTCCTTAATGCGTGCACGCATACAGCTTCGTATTTCCAAAGGGATCGATAAGTGGCTAGAACCGTTATTGCTGAACCGGTACCGTGATTATGAGGAACGTTGCCCCAAATAGTATTTCAAATCCTCGATACTTCGAAGAAAGCAAAACTCAACAGTCTTTATTATATCGCAGGTGTTCGATGTTTCGAGTATAAGAATGATTTTCTAAAATTTATTCTACTGTTCTCCCATGTCCCTCTTTTTTCTACATAAACATACGAGACTACCGAACAGCACAAACAACAAAGACCTTGTTCCATGTTACCAAGGAAGGAAGATCCTCTGTGCAGAGCTATAAAAATTGTCAATCGAACTTGATTCCTATTAATCCTTAATTATTAACTGGGACAGCATGTGCAGAAAAAAAATAATTGATTATTTCTTTTGTAATCTTAAATGCATTTCTGAAAGACCTGAAGCTGAAGGAAGAATCTAAGTGCAGGAACACGCTACAACGTGCACGCTTTTCGATTCGCACAAAATTCCATTGTCGAAGGTATCCCCTGTTTGCTCGAGGATCTGGCGAGCAGCTGATTGGGATTTTTGTTCAAGTCTCGTGAATTACACATGGCGCGTCGCTTTCGTACCGATCCCGATGCCGTGTTTGCGCGGAGACAAGAAAAAAGTATTGTTTGAGGGCGTTTCAGCCGTGGACTTGGAAAAAATCGTCGAAGAAATCGCGTGGCAAAATTCGTGTGGATTTCAAGAGAGGTTCTCCGTGCGAATAGGTAAACATACCGAGACATTCAGTTATTCTTGTGTATTAACAATACGGATTAAAACCTTCGGTGTTGTATCAACTATTGTAATAAGGAATAAGCTGCGAGGAAAGGTACTTATCACTGCTGGAGACTAGAGTTAAACGGGACATCGAGTGACCCTTCACGGTGAATTGTATAACGAGAGGGCTAGTTATTGCAATCATCCCTGATTGGGTAGCGCTGGAGAAAGAATAACACTGCTCGGGAATTCTTGGAAGAGGTTATTGGCTCGGTGGCCGGGAAGCTCCTGCGCGCTTGCTTGAGGAACTTCATTATCTTAATGTTGTTTTTATGAATAAGTTTTAGATCTTAGCAGTATATATATGTATATATTCAATCTAATTTCAATCTTACGAAGTTAAGGTTTTTATTGCAATTTAATGTAATGCGATTCGTGTTTGCACGTTTTGTAACGAGATGGCTCAGAGTGCAAAGGGTGAAAAGTAAAGGAGAAACGAGTGTTATGGGTAACGTTATATGATGGACGAGATTGATCAGGTCGCTGATGAGATGATACGCGTCACTCTGTTACCCTATACGAATCCAACAAAAGGGAGAGAAATCACCCCATCGTCAGATTTATTTAATACAGCGTCGAGTGGAGGTGGCGTGTGGGGTGGCACAGGACTGCAAGTGTTGGGGGTGGAGTTGAGGGTGGCTGCAACCTGTTGAGTCAGACAATATCGCGTTTTTACTAATGCCACATCGCCGTCCCGCCACGAGGATCCGAGGGGGTGGCTACATTTTTGCCGTTCCACGGTCGGAACCCCCGACTCGGAATCGTCATTATCGAGCTTGGGATTATTAACCCCGAAATACGTGCGAAATCCGTCGCTCCTCCCAGATAAGGAAGGTTACAGTGATACCTAATAGTAACTGACTATTCTCAGTGCTAGTAGATCAATTTAAATTTTACATGAGAATTATTATGTGAGAATTATTAATACGATGCGTCGTTACGATTATGAAGCAAATTATGAACGAGCCATCGTAAAACTTTAAATGACAAGTTTTCTCGCAATGTCGGCCTTCCGCTCTCGCGAAAAAAAAGTAGTCATTAACAGAATTCAAAGAACTCTCGCCGCTCGCATTTTTCGACCATGTGTCGCCCACGTGTACTCGAGCATCTTTATTTTTCAGCCTAAGGTTGTATTACTCTCTGTAACGGGCGTGAATAAACACTATTCTAACAGGATAAATAAACTGAACGTCCAATCATTGTTTCCATTGGTATTTCATGGAAATCATTTCCAACCAGATATTCCACGAATCACGACGACCTATCAGACCACCAAAGTTGATCAGGTGTCAAGGAACCGCCAGGACGAAAAGCATCGTCAACGCCGGCCTTGGTTTCGAAGGTCGACATCGACAACCTTCCCCGCGCGTTCGGAGGAGGTTTCACGAGCGCAGATAAATCTCGGAAACGATGGGCAGGGCCCGGTACAACGAGCCGTGGCTGCATTGAGCCGACGCCTGGGCCGTACCATCGCGCTATTCAGGTTCACGAGAGCATGTCTCTCTCCTAGAGCCGCTGGAGCAAAGACGCGCGCGGAGGGACCCAAGGGGGAGGGGTGAAGGCAAATGCACCGGCACCACGGTGGACCAGGTGCATCCCGTGGAGCCTGGGAAGCGCAAACTACGGCAACGAATAACACCGGCAGATGCTACCGAGATCACCGGGGCCCCGGGGGCCCTACGTATTCGGCGTCTATGTGCACAGACGCCGACGTCCTCGGCGACTTTTGTTTGTTCAACGAGTACAACCACGGCGCATCCTTCGAGTTCACCGCTGTACCGCACAGTGGGGGCTGAATCGTGAAAAATTGGAAGAAGATCCCAGATTTTTGGTTAAACACGACGCGAGAAGTTTTTTCGATATTTAGAATCAGCTCTTCCTCGCTGTCACATATT